GTTTGCCAGAACAAATTGGAACATTTTTCATCGGTGCTGTCAAAATCATCATAGTCATTGATTAAATTCTGACACTGTCCATTCACAAAAACATAAAACATCCTTCGGGGCCCCCGAAATGCCAGGGCCCCGGGCTGCAGCCCCTGTAAGCCCCTGCTAAAATCCAGCCCAGCCAGACGTGGGCAACATATGGCTGGAGGGCCAAATACGGCCCTTGGACAATGTCCTTCTGGCCCTCGGTATCTTTACTTGAAAATAAAACAACTTTTTAATAAGTTGCTGAAAACCTGCAATTTATCATTGAAAGTAAAAGCTGTCTAAATTAAACATGTAGAGGAGATGCACCAAAGACCTTTAGATTAAGATAAGCTACAACTTATTTGAAGTCGTATTTCCAGAGCTAGACTGAAGCTTAACGACACCAAAAAACAAACATATAACAGTTTTTAAACATTTTTATATTGGCATAATTAAGCTAACAAATATGTTGTCACAATTCTTAAAGATTATTGTGGAGACATATTTTTATCAAGCATGCCAACTCTGCTACAACAAGAAAAAGCCTGGACATGTCTTAGAGATTATCAGTATTAAAAATATATATTTTCCAATTTTTATGTGGCCCTTTTATTGCTTTAAATATCTTGAGTTGTCCCTCTGGGAAAAAAAAGTTGCCCATCCCTGTCAGAGTGTGTTGAGGGTGACTCTCAGCCACTACTGCAGCTAATACTAGCCGAATGTCTGTAAAAGTGAACTACTTGTGGCAGTTTCATGTTTTCTAAGATAGTTTGAACTTGAAATCAGCTGTAGATGTTCTTTAGTGGTTACGTTCTGAGGGTTTCATTAAAATTGGTTTGAGGGTTCATCAGGTGTTTGCTAACAGACAGGCACACGCACGCCTGTGGCTGAGTGGTTAGAGCAGTCGTCCTCCAATGGGAGAGTCGGGGGTTTGATTCCACCAGCAGTCACATGTTGAAGTGTCTCTGGACAAGACGCTGAACTGAAAAACAAAAAATTCAAAACACTGAATTGTCTCTGATGTATCTCTTCAGTGTATGAATGTGATGTAAAGTGCTGATTAATCTGTACAGACTGAGATTATCTTTGTAGAGATGTACTGTAGTCCCTCGCTGTTCGCGATTTCGCAGTTTTTCAAAGTAAGGTTGGACATGACACAATTGGCTGATTGATGGATGAGCCATGGGTTATTTATTTAATATAAATTATTTTAAATGATTTTTCACCATGTGTGAAGCCCATAAGTGCAGGGAGAAGCTCCCTCTTGCAGCTGATCAGCTGATCTCCTTCTCTGCCATGCACACATTTCCCCTGCTGCAAGTTTGTGAAGAGTTAACCCTTTGCTGTCCAGATGCACCGATTGACTTTTGTCTTCCAACTTAAAATTCAACGTATGTCACATGGTAAAAATCATCATAATCACAAAATAGAAAAGTGTTAAAAGTTATTTTTAATTATTTTAGAACTTCTATGTGCAGTTGTTGAAGTGTAACTGATCAAGAAGCACATTTCTGATCCACGTTGCTTCTGTGTGAAGAGTTAACCCTTTCTCTTCTCTACAATTTAAATAATGTAACATTTTAAATAAACAATCCATGCTGCATGACCCCCCCCCCGCCGAAATGCAATAAGCAGCCAATATAAAATAATTTAGCAAACTTTATTACGTAAATAAGGTGTGCATTTTCAGGAAGTGACCCAAAGAAAACCAAACAAAATAAATGGGAAAAAAATTGTTAGCCCGCCCTCAAACACTAAAACAAGACAAATAATCCAAAACTGGGCGGACTAACAAGAAAAAAAGTAAATCGAGTTCAAAAGAGACAGCAGGAGCAGTGATATAACTGTAAAAACAAATACACGAAAAATACTAAATACTTATTAAATCACTTTAATTAAGTCAATCTAAAAACACATTAAAAACACTGCATACCTGCTTCAGATAAACGCACATTCTCCGGTTTACCACACCAACTCTAAAGTCACCATTGATGTGGTAAATCTGATGCAGCCCTGCGGCATCGAGTAGCCACACGCCCAGGTAACACAACCCAAAAACGTCATCAATAGCGGAGTCCTGTATAAAACACCACATCAGCACCACCTTATTTAAAAAATCAGTTCAAACAGTTTTCCTCCAAAACTTACCAGCCAGCAAACAGTGGCGCATGTGGGCCCAGCACACACCTGGTCACACAGGAAATTGACACGTAGCCACCACCCTGCCAGCTTTCCTTTTATGGAAGCTCAAGCCGTGGAGGGAGCGACACCTGGTGGTTCCACCTGTTACAGCTGTATGAATGTGTAAATGAGGACACAGATTGTGTTTAAAGAGCTTTGAGTATCTTGATAAGATAGAAAGGAACTATATAAGTACAGTTCATTTACATACATGAGCAGACTTTGTGATCTGTGGTGAGAACAGAGAACAGGTGGAAGAGAACTTGAAGAGGTGGAGGTATGCACTTCAAAGAAGATGAATGAAAGTCAGCTGTAGTAAGACAGGAACATGTTTGTGTTGGTTTTGCCATGAACTTAACTTTAGTTTAAAATCACTTCGAGAGGTCAAGGTCGAGAGCTTCAGATCTTTTTACAAGGCGTTCCAGGAAACTGGAGCAGAGTAGGAGAAGGTCCTTTTCTAAATTCAGTCCACACTGAGGGGACACTGCAGGTAATTATGGCTGAAGACCTCTCTCTCTCTCTCTTTCTCTCTTTCTCTCTCTGTGTGCAGCAGAAACCCAGAAGGATTCGTCTGAGACCAGCGAGAATGAGGAGAGCGAGGAGCTGTTGGAGGTCCAGGTGTTGTCTTTGAGTCAGGTGGTCAGAGACAATGTTGCCGACTTCATCAGACACGTTCACGGCTCGCATGTGGTCCGCACTCTTCTACACGTGCTGGGGGGCTGCCTCGGACCCCCTCGTACAGAGGCTCATCCAGGTAAACACACGAGATTCTGCCCAAATGGTGGTGGTGGGGGGGGGGGGGGGGGGGCATACATTATTACCTGGTTTTGACTCTATAGTTGTTCAACTCAAACGGCTTCAGTAAGGTGGAGTGCAGCAGTAGAGTTTGGGTCAACGACAGTTTTATTCCCTCCGAGTGAAGAAACGAGGCCAGGATCCAATAAAGGTGTCCATGGTGGGGGTGTGGAGGCAGCTGTGGGGACTGAACTGGACCATGACGGTGTCCATCACAACTGGAGCAGGATGTTATTGGACCACAGTCCATTAACATCTGGTTCTGCTTCCGATCCAGAAGGTTCTGCAACAGAAACGTGATGACAGTTTAGAAACGCAGGAAGCAGCAGAGACTTGCTCATAAAAATGTTGTTTCTCGACGTGCACGAGTTTGTTACTGGACACATTTACTCCTCGGAGGCTTCAGGCTCTCCTGACGTTCTCAGTGTTCCCCCTTCCGTTATTCAAAGAGGGCGCCCCGCCCCACCAGTGGAACTGCCTGCCAACAGCACCACCCGCCCCACCATCTGGACCGTCCGCCCTGTCATGAAGTTCATGGCATGAAAAAAAGATTAATAATCATCTATACTGTTCACAGTTCTGCGCGACAGGGAGACGCCAAAGCTGACGCATCATCACCTCTTCCATCACGCCACCGGTGCCACGACCTCCCGGGTCGTTCGTGTCTAAAATGAGATTTTATATTAAATATTAATGGTCAAACATCATCAACATACAGACACATCTGATTTACAGCAGGAGCTCTAAACCTGTTTGAGTCACGCTGTCCAGTTAACCTGCCGTTTTCTGCTGCTTTAGTTCTTGGACTTTAATAATAACATTAAAAGACGTTTATTTGTTTTCCCGTCACTGATGCCATGATATGTTTGTAAAAGTCACGTTGTTCCCTCTGCGACGGTCAGTTTCATGAATATCTACAAAGTTCAGTCCTACACAAGCTGTGGGTTATCTGTCTGCAATAAGATTATATTTATTATTATTATTTGGAATGATACTGAGACGTACTGTGGTAAATGTAACATAATAAATGATCAAATATGAAAACAAAAATTATATTAAGAGTAAATAAGCTGAAATCATTCAAATACCTCTTTGATTGAAATAAAATCATTTACAGGCAGAAATCTGTCATTCTTGCAGATATGAGTTATATGTCATATGACATATAATTTCCCTCTGGGATTAATAAAAAGTATTTTTGAATTTGAATTGAATTGAATGATATAAATGTCTGTTTTTGTTATTTTGTGCTGCTACAGCTTTTAAACTACCGCCCTTCTGATTAAAACAAAGGTACATAAAGACTGAAACATCATTTCAGTGTCATCATAGAGGAGTTTAATTTCTGTGGTCACAGTTTGACTCGTGAACGTCACGCTGAGGTCATGCTGAGGTCACGCTGAGGTCACGCTGAGGTCACGCTGAGGTCAATCTATCTTCCAGGACTTCCTCTTAACGAGCTGCTTGTAGTTTTCATGTCACTTCCTGTTTGAGTCTAGCCACAGGTAAAGGTGTTGCTGAAACGTTTGGGTCAAACTTTGTGCCTTCATGTTTTCAGTGAGTGGTGCTGAACACGCTGACGGTACCAGAACCAGAACCACTGTCTGACTTGTTTCCACAGAATGTAAAGATTTCATCCTGCTTTTTATATTTACATCACAGATGCAGGGACCAGGTAAACTGTTCTCTGAGGTTTCAGCTGCGTGTCTGTTTGGATGTTTCTGTTTTGAAGCAGGAGGAAAAAATGGCCGCTGTGCTCCTCGGCTGACGGACTTTGAGATCCCCACCTCGTTCTGGTACGAGCTGAAGAGTCTCACCGAGACCTTGATGGAGAACGTTAACTGTAAGTCCCATTTATGAGGCTTTCACTCTCAACCCTTGTCATTTAAAGACTTTAGAGGAGGTTTTATGGCTCACAGATCACAAAACGAGCGTTAACTGTTAGAGTCAACCTCTTATTTCTGTTAGCAAAATATATTTTAAACCACTGGACAGATTTCAATGACTTGTTTAAAGAAAGTGTTGAAGTTTACATCTAGCGCTCATTAACTTCATGATGGTCGTCACAGCTGGTGAACCTTAGCGAACACAAGAACGGCCACAGCTCAGTCAGGTTGACACATTTTGAGCTAAATCTGGTGGTAGTAGCTGAGGCTAATCCCAGCATGTAATCTGAGGGCTAACAGAGCGCACAAGATTTGAGTTCACATCGTAAAAACAAAAAGGAATGTTGGTTCCAGTTACGTTACAGTCGCATGCAATGATGGAGGGGACTCAAAAAGTCATCGAACCTCAGAGTTTGTTTTATTAAATCCAGATAAAGAGCGTGGTGGTGCAGAGGTTAGAGAGGGTGGGCCTGTGATCAGAGTCGCTGGTTCAACTCCCCAGACTGACATCAAAATGTGGGTGGGATAAGTGAAACACCCACACCTGCCTCCACCCTCTTTTGCCCCACTCTGGGCCCATGAGCAAGGCCTTTAACCCCCACCATCTGCACCCTGGGACCTTAGCGGGCAGCTCTCTGCTCCACATGTGCAATGGGGAAAAATGCAGAGAATTAATCTCCACGTTGTGGATTAATAGAGTAGAATAAAATAAGAAAGTGTGTTCAGAAAGTGAAACGTCAAACAGCGTGCTTCAGATTTATCCAGTTTTAGAGGTTAAAATAAAATAACATAACTGCTTTAACAGCAAAACAGATAACTGTTATAATTAGTCCCAACGTCAGTTCGACTGGATTTTATTTTGCCCAAGCTTTTAAAAAGAAACAAAGAAAAGCCGACTGTTTATTTGTCAGCCCACCCCCCTGAGTGATTAAAGAAAGAAAGTGCTATGTGTTGTCTTCTTTGTATGTTTCCATACAATGATGACATTAGTCTCTGCATTTAACCCACCACACCTGAGATACACCCAGGTGGAGCAGCTGTGTAAGCACCCGGGGAACAATTAGGGATTAGGTGTCTTGATCAAGGACACCAGGACATGTGGGCATGGTGAGTCGAACCACGACTTTCTGGTCCCAAGTCAGCTGCCCTACCTCTGCACCATCTCAACCCCTAAACTGCTGCAGCCCATTAATCTGACAGGGACGTGGAGGAACACCCTGCAGCAGGAACCAAAGCATCAGAAGCTTTGAAGGCAGCAGAAACTTATAAAAACTATTAATGACAACAGAGGCTACAGATTTCTGCTTCCTCTCATTAAATGATCATCAATCAATCAATCAATCATCCATACTGTTTTTCTGGACTCAGGTTTCAGGGGCAGCATCTTGAGCAGGGAGGTCCAGATATCTCTCTCCACAGCCACCTCTTCCAGCTCTTCTGGGAGGACTCCAAGGTGTTCCCAGACCAGATGAGACATAGTCTCTCCAGGGGGTCCTGGTCTTCCTTGGGGTCTCCTCCCAGTTGGACATGGAGAAAATGGAATTGTGTGTTCATGAGATCCTGTGAACCCTGCAACAGTCTCCTCTGGATGTGGAGGAGCAGTGGTTCTACTCCGAGTCTCTCCTGATAACTGAACTTCTCACCCTGTCTCTAAGGGAGAGTCCATCTACTCTGCAGAGGAAACTCCTGGATCCACAGTCTCAATCTTTCAGTCTACCCAGAGTTCATGGTCATAGGTGAGGGCAGGAACATAAACTGGCCAGTAAACAGAGAGCTTTGCCTTCCAGCTCAGCTCCCTCTTGACCACAACGAGCCGGCACAGTGTCCGCAATACTGCAGACACTGCACCAATCCATCTGTTGATCTCATGCTCCATTCTTCCCTCACTGTGAACAAAACCCAGAGATACTTGAACTCCTTCATGCTCATTATGTTAAAAAAACGAATAAAATTAACTAAATATCTTAGATCTATTACTGTTTTTCTTTTACAATTTATACTTTTGTTGGATGTAACTGGGACCCTGTGTACACGATTTTGTTCCACCAACTCTGACTCTGACTTTGAACAGAACTCATCAGAGTAGTGTTGAAGAGTGAAATAATCTTGTTTACAATATTTACCTGCATCAGTAAACTCCTCTGTACTGACATGAAACACGGTGCAGCCCAGTTCGGCTCAGATCATCGATCTGATCCGCAGGACAGAACCAGTTACTGTAAACAACAAGAGAAAGCATCAGAGAAATTTGAAATGTTCAATATGCTTAAAAATCAAAATAAATTGATGATTACATTGTACTAACTAGTGTACTTTGGTTCTAAGTACAGTATACGGACCGACTGCGGTAAAGTTAGTTTTACGTTGGACATTCGCTCTCTGTGGCTTCAGCGATGTCCAACGTCCAATGTAAAACTAACTTTATCCACTACAAAAATGGAGACTGCACCACTGACGTGGTTCTGTGGAGGGACTGTAAGGAATGAGTGTCTTACTTGTAGATAACAGCTAGTTCAACTGCTGACATGGAAAAAACAACTCCGGTCATAAACATGTTGAGGCGGTTCATAAACAAACGGTGTAGAGGCAGTGCAGCCGACTCGGTTCAGTCCCCGGTCATTGCACATGTCGTGGTGTCTCTGAGCAGGACACCTCATCCCCAGTTGCTCCCCGGGTGCTTTCGATAGCTGCCCACTGCTCCACCTGGTGGGTTAAAAGCAGAGAGCCAATTTCGCCATTATATGGGAACATGCAATGATGACAACACATACACATAATTATTATACAGACATTTCCACCTTACACTAGTTTACACGTTAGTTCTTGGTCGTTAACAGCAGCAGCAAGCTTTAGCATTTCTGGTATGGCGGAGCCATGAGACCTTAAAACAGTGTCTGCACGAATCTCCGAGTTGTCTGAGACTGAAGACGTTTAAGATGAGAGAAATACACTTTGGTCTTGGTCACCCACCGACTAGCCATTAGCTCGTCAGTCTGGTCAAAAAATACGATTTCTCAAACTGAGGAGGTTTAAACAGTTTGTTGGGAAATGTTGACAGTTTTTATCTTGCTTAGTCTGAGAACTTTGTGTTTGTCTTCAGTAAGTGTTACAGATGCTGCAGCCAGCACAGTTTTCCAGACCATGTTGACCGTATGTCACAAAAAACGGCCCAAACTCTGCAAGCAGCTCCTCAGACGCACCATGGAGTACCTGACGGGTCACAGTGCAGCTCCTGGAGTCAGGTTAGACTCGACTTGTAATCATCTGGGTTGCAACATAACAGCTGCTAATGTGTGGCTTTTCCTTTCAGTCCACTTCTGGTCTTTCTGAAGGACCAGAACTCCAGTCACCCCATAGAGACCATCATACAGCTGTCCCACAAGCCTCTTCTCCGCGACCTCTACAAAAACCACCTGAAGGGTCACCTGGTGGACCTGGCCCTCCATCCCATTGCTAATTTCCCCATACAAAGGCTTATAGCAGCCTCAGCCAAATATAAACTGGTCAGTTAAGAGTTAGAACAGCAAACGGGGGATTATTGTGTATTTTCACTGTTCTGACTTGTTTTTTCTGTCTGCAGTTCCTCAGTTTGTTCGATGAGCTGGTTCAGGGTGTGGAGGCCATCTTGGCTGCAGGTCACATGGGTGTGATCATCCAGCTGGCAGAAAGCTGTGCAGAAAGTGGAGAGAAGCAGGACGATATAATGCAGTGCCTTCTTGATGTAAGCTTCAAACAGTTTTTGTTCATTGAAGATGTTCATGGCTCAACAGTTCTGTTTCCCTTCATCCTCTGTGTCTCCGTGTTGGGTTTGTGGATTGGACCCGGTGCCGTGTCCTCCAGGCGTTCCACTGCGCTGAGCCTGGTTCTCGACTTGTCAGCTGCCTCCCTCTCTTCATGTCCCTGCTCACCTATGAGGTGTACTACCAGTGTGAAACAGCAGAGGGCAGCACACAGACAGAGGTCAATCACTAAACTTTTGTTGACACAGCGTCTCACATGTGAGTCACAAACTGTTTGGTCCATGCAGTAGACTGCATGTTTACCTGTATGTTGTTTCCAGACTCCCCTGACCTCCATCTGCTACCACGGCTCTCGGCTGGTCCAAGCCCTGGCTAAGTTTAAAGAGCGCTCGCTCCTCCTCAGCAGCCTGCGTACGCTGAGCCCCGCTGATCTCCTCACGCTGGCCTCTGACCCTGCAGGCAGCCACGCCCTCCAGTCCTTGATCATCACTTCTAGTGACAAAGGTCGAGGCAAGATCCTCAAGAGACTGGAGGTATGACATGTTTTTATGATGCTCTGTTCAAAGATTCTACAAAACGTACCACATGAAGACCTTTTGTCCTCCACAGGGACAGTTGGTCCAGATGGCCTGCTCCAGGTTGGGCAGTCGTGTGCTTGAAGCCATGTGGAGCAGCGCCTCCATCAGTCAGAAGCTAAGCATCGCACAGGAACTTGGTAACCTGGATGGATTTTCTTCACTTATCGTAAAAATGCCTGATTATCGTCCTCGTTATGACTCTGTTTCCTGTGTGTCCTCTTCCCCAGCTCTGTGTGAAAGCCAGCTGAAGTCCGATCAGTTCGCTCGGCACGTTTGGGCAAAGTTCGCTCTCTCCCACTTTGTCCACAGAAAAGCCTACTGGCAGGAAATTCAGACGGGCGAGTCCAAGAAGAGGAAGCTTTTCAGTGACATTCTTGAATAAGAAGTTTAAATCTGTATCATCTGTTTGTTTTCTCTGTGTTATAATAAATGAATAAAAACATTCCTTTTGAATGGTTTGTTGCTTTATTTAAATTTCAGGAACCTGTTGTTATGACCTGTAGGGGATACTAGAGACACATTTACAGTACTGTTCATCTAGAGCAGGGGTCTGAACGCTTTACATCAGAAGAGCCATTTTCGTTCACTAAAGTAAAAGTGATCAGAGTCGCGACAACCTGCTGTGATTATCAACTGGTGGCCCGTGGGCCACTTTAGGTTTGTTAGAGGGAGCTTTTGTGGCCGTTAGGGTTGACTTAAAGCTAAAAAAAAAAATAATCTAATTAGGTTTTTACAATTTAAAACAAATGAAAAGACCAGATTCTTGTAGTGGGGGGGGGGGGGGGGTGTCGTTTTTTAATAAAAACTGAACTATGCAGACCTATGTATTTTTTTTTTATTGTGGAAAAAATAAGTATAGCAATAAAGCAAAAAGTTTTAAGTATGTTTTCCTTGTACATCTAAAAAAGTTAAATCTGGTCCTCTGGACATTCAAAAAAACAAAACAAAGCAAATCAACAAAAAAATGTAGAAACGTTTCGTCTCTCATCCGAGAGACTTCCTCAGTCTGAGG